GCTTCCGGTAGTTACCAGATGCAGCTGCTGCTTCCAGCTCATTAGCACGCTTCGAACACCAGGCTTCTCGGTCCTTACGCAAGCTTTGCCCGAATTCATTACGTAACATCCTTCGTTTGTGGTCAAACTCACGGTCACCCGGAGTAGACCGATGGGCTTCAATGAGTTGTAAGGAACCAGAAGAAACCCAGTGCTTATAAGCGGGACGTTTCGCAAACCCACAACTGACTGTACCCGCCATTTTCATGGCATCATGCAATTGCAACCAATGCTCATCTATACTTTTCGGTGGAATGGTAGCTAGCCTAGAAGCTAGCTCGGTTCGATACTTACTTGCAACAGAAGTTGCAACCAGCTTGCTAATATCAATCCGTTGATGGCGGTCACTTCGTTGTCCATTGAAAAGTAAGGCAAGATTGGCGCAGACCAAGGCATGGTCAGAGTCCAGATAGGTACTCCAAAAGGAGCGGCAGTCTTGTACACAACCACGCCAGTGGTAGCTGATCGCGATGTGATCAATCTGAGTCCAGGCTTGGGATGCAGAGGGAGGACGCCAGGTGGCACATCGGCGATGACTGTGCCGAAAGTTAGTGCTAGCCAGAAACAGGTTGTGGTCTGTGCACAGTTGCAGTGGACGGTCCCCGTTATCTGACCTGCGACCAACAAGTCAACATCGGCCACCTAAACGACCCTCTTCTGTGCCTAGACGCCCGACCTGAGCATTCAAGTCTCCGGCCAGTACTACAATATCTGTCGAACGCACTTTCTGGAGAACAGTCAACTGGTGGTAGAATTCATCCTTGATTGCATCCGGGCTGCAATCTGTCGGGGCATAGGCGGAGATGACGAAAAGACATCGTTTCTCACGCCGATTTCTTCTCACTTTGATGGAACTTTCTAATCTAACAGCACATAACCGACTGTTAATGGGGATCCAATGGACTAGTGCTGCCTCAGCTCTAGCGCTTAGTGCGACACCAACGCCAGCAAGACCAGACGAAGATGCCACAGGGTCCCCGGATAAGCGCACGTAAAACAAGCTTTTTGAAGTGACAGATGTAGAGCGAATTTGTAGTACTTCGCCAGAGTCTTGAATACGGGTCTCGGATAGACAGCAGATATCGATATGAAGACTTTCCAAAGACATAGCCAGCCTTATTTGTTGTCTGACCTGTATGAGTATGCGAACGTTGAAGGCAGTCAGTTTGAATGCTGCACGTGGCTTCAGAAAAACTGCTTCAGTTCTCATATTCGGTGGTAACATACAATTTTCAACCGGACAGTGACTCGAGAACGTTTAGATACAGTCGGATTTCCACCAAAGACGAGCCGCTGTACAAATATAAAAGAGGGTGAATAATGTGGAAAATAATAATAATAATAATAATAATAATAATAATAATAATAATGACAATAATAGTAATAATAATAATAATACTATTAATAATGACAATTATAGTAATGATAATAATTTGAATCATTTTATTGTTTTTCGAAGCGAGAAAAGTATTTTCTATAGACATAGAGACTTCATCATTTGTATGTGGGCTGTGATAGTGCCCGGGTGCCCAAACCGAAGGAGGTGGTTATCTTAGGGGGCCACTTCCCGAGCCTTTGTGTTAGGTATGCAGAGGAATGTACCAATAATTATCGTGTTAAGTCTATGGTGGCCTTGGACTTTAAATGTACATTCCCTATTGGCTATTATTTGATTCATTCGTTAAATATTGTACAATGTTATTTCCTATTTTATCGTACGATGTGATCTGCTTGATTAGTATTTAAACAGAGTGTGTAAGATTTTTTTCTTGGATCCGCCTGAAGCTTGGGTGTCGCATTCCTCTTGTGGTCCATTACTCTCGAGGGTTGTACAGCTTTCTCTGCGTCGTTTGTCTTTTCGATATTTGCGCTCATGATGGTTCTCCTGAGATGAATCTACGAGCAATTGAAATGGGACCCGGTTTTCTGTGACCACTGTACTATCGTTTCTTTGCATTTGATTTATATGTCTTATGCATTTTCCGACACCTTTCCGGACTAGGTACAGTACATTTCCGATTCGACGTTCTATGACACCTGGTTCCCACTTCCTATTACCTTGATACGATCTGACAAGTACCTTTTCACCCACCTGGAAGCTACGATTGACCTTACGATTTTTATTCGTGGGTTTATTTGTCTTTCTGGGCGGCAGCATACTGTTAAAGACTGTCCGGATTTTCCTTCCGAACATACACTCGGCCGGAGACTTTCCTTCTGGTACTGCCGGATTAGGGTAACTCTGTAAGACATCAAGGACTTATTAATCACTTGTTCCGGGATACCCTCACCTCCCCCTTTGACCAGAGCTCTTTTAATCGTATCCACGAATCTTTCTGCCTGACCATTTGACTGAGGACGGTACGGAGGAAATTGTAGATGCAGTATGCCATTTTCACTGCAAAAGCGTTTGAAAACAGATGACATAAACTGGGTACCGTTGTCGGTCACTAATATCTCTGGAACCCCGAAACTAGCAAACAATCCTGACAATCTTCTTATTGTACTCTCCGATGTCATTTTCGGCATGTGATATACTTCTGGCCATTTTGTGAAAGCATCTACAACAACTAAGTAATTCCTGCCTTGTATTGGTCCGGTAAAATCAGCATGTATTCTTTGCCAAGGCCCGTCCGGTTTCGGCCATGGTTGTGGTTCAACTTTCGTTGGATTCTTTGCAGCCTCTAGACAGGACCAACAACTGCGACATTTTTGCTCTATATCATGGTCCATTGACGGCCAGTATGCATAGCTGCGAGCTAGTGACTTCATTTTACTTATCCCCGGATGCCCGCTGTGGAACTGTTTAATGACTTGGTGTCGAAGATTTCTGGGGATAAAGATACGATGGCCAAACATTATACATGAATCGACAACTGTTAAAGACTCTCGTCGACGAAAATATTGTAAGAGTTCTCCGTGTAGTCTAGATGAAGGCCATTTGTTGAGTATGCAATGGCGAACAATCTTCAATACATTATCCTTCTTGCTAGCCGCTTTGATGGCTTCGAATGTGACCGGGAGTCCGGAAACTGCGTCTGCCAATACTTTGTGAACCTCAGCCTCGACATCTATAGCAGCTACAAGCACCTCTTCTTCTTGTTTTTCATGCAGACCAATCAATCTTGAGAGTCCATCTGCCTGTCCGAAATCCGTTGTTGGTTGATACTTTATCTTGAAATCTTAGCCCAGCAGTGGGGTAGCCCATCGCTGTATCCGGTTTGCTGTATATACCGGGATGCCTTTTTTAGATCCAAAAACTGTCAGTAACGGTTTATGATCTGTAAGTAAGGTGAACTGTCTGACAAACAACATCTTGTGGAACTTTTTTACAGCAAGGGTTTCTTTCCCTATTTGACTATAGTTTCTTTCAGTCATAGTCAGCGGTCTCGCAGCGTGAGCGATTGCTTTCTCAGACCCGTCAGGGTAGGCATGTGAAATTACTGCTCCAATTCCGTAGTTCGACGCATCTGCTGCGACTATAATTGAAAGATCGGGATCATAGTGTGTAAGGAGAAGGTTCGATGATAGAAGCTCCTTCAGTTTTAGGAATGCTTCCTGACATTCAGTTGACCAGAACCATTTAGTATCCTTTTTCAGTAAGCAATTAAGAGGGGCATGATGGCGATGCAGATCTGGAAGAAAAACTCCATAATGACTAACCATTCCCAAGGAAGAACGTAAAGTTGATACATCCGTCGGTGGAGGCATGGACTTAATGGCTTCGACATTTTCAGGACCAGGTTTTCTCCCGTTTTTATCCATTATGAATCCCAAATGCCGGACTTTCTCCATCTAAAATCACATTTTTCGGCACGCATTCTGAATCCATAATCTGCTATGCGTCTGAGAACCTAAAGGTCTAACCCACAAGGCAGTGGAGCATCGTAAGGAGATGCAATCCCATGGTAGCCGGTGACCAACGATTGGTTCATACGCCATTTGTTCCCGCAGGATACTGGAGCCCATGTGCACCATTGGTTTGTGATCCTGTTAAAGCGCCGGACATTCGCTTTTCGTCCTCTCATTTTCGTAAACAACAGCCCCGCCACGAGAAGGCAATGAGTAGGACTTCCCTGGCAGAGGCTGTATACGCGCGGCCTTGTGAGAGTATTTCGAGAGGGAGAGCGGACTCTCCTCACTCTCGGCCGTACCAGGGCATTCGGGGCTCTTAGAAGTACGAGGGCGGTTATCATTTCCCGGTTGCCCACACTGTGGAAGGGGCCCCTTTGTACCAATATTTATATGTTCAAATAAATAAATAAGTTCCATATTCAAATGATTAATTCTCCATAGGTTTCTCAAGTCTCTGCCTACTAACTTTGTGAAATTTCAAATCAAATAACTTCTTCGGTCCCGCGATAATAATCGATGTCCAATTCTTCATTCACAAACTAAAATTTTCCTAGTAGCACAAATAGACTCAAATTAATGGGAACTTATTATCGATTAGTAAATATAAACAAATTTTAAGGCATTCTATAGGTTAAATCTTATAATTGATCTCCAAAATATCAACGAATCACAATATTCATGTATATGTTTTTGTGATATTAGCTAATAGAGTCTAGACAAAGAGAAAGTGTGTGTGTGTGTGCGCGCAATCCGAATTTGTAACGTCCTTCAACTGCTAGCGCTATGTGTCTTCGGGAAAGTGAGGTCTTATGAAAATAACTGTTATCGCGTAAATTTCACTGTAATTTGAGTGATTACCCGGCTAATTTTGTTTTTTAACTATCATGGATGAAGATTAGTCTTATGGTCAAGTTGAGTCATTTTAGGTACTGGTTTCGAAATTCGATTTGTATCAGCTTAAATACATTTATACGTAGTAGTGTGTGTATAAACCATGTAGCATATATGATTTTACTGTGATAAAGTATTTTTGCGTTTCTCAACCCCAAGGAACTCTTTATTAAGTTGGACTTTTTTGCATTTATTTAACTGTTTTTTTTCCTTAGAATTTTACTCCAATTAAACGATATCTATCAACAACTACTACTGACTGTGAACAATCTTTAAACAGTAATACACCAAAAACTGCTACTGTACGTTACACCGAAAGCCAATTTTGCTTCATTACATTTCATTTTTTATATCTACGGTAATTAATGATTCTAATCCTACAGTTCAACTTATATTTTGTGAATTTTAGTCTAATAATATCTAAAATAAAGGCTTTAAAAGGTTTGATAAACAAAATATGCAACTGAATTTAATTGTACGTCAGTCTTGTTTGAATTGTTAGGAATTATAAAGCGTTGTGTAGATTTTTCACTTTTCTTTATTTTTAAGATAATACTTATCACATTAATCATTACTTTGTATTTAGTACTATTTAGAATTCTCGGGGTAAAATATTTTAATAAGGTCTTTGCACCGTTCATATTATATATATATATATATATATCACGTTAAATTTTTATAATAGAAGAACAATCTGTATAGCAGTGCATAACAGGGTTACATTTTCAAGATTCAGGAAGTATACAAGGAGAAAGATATGGATAGAATAGTGAACGGTTTATATCTAATAGGGTAACACTTACCGGTTGTTTTACAAAATTTCAAATGTCTATCAACAGTCATATTCAATAAAAAAAACATTTAAAAGAAAAAAATTCACCATTTGCTTTGTCTCATCTCCCTTGACGCTGAAAACCAACGAACTCATATGGAATCAAATACAAGATCTTCAGGTCCAAAGATATGGTCAATTAGCATTCAATCCATGATCTAATATTATCGGCGGATGATCGTCATATTTACAAACTGAATAAATTAATGGTGCTCAAATTCCCGTTAGAATTAAGCTAAAACAACTGGGCAATACACTTATTTTCTAGTTAATGATAAATTATCTTAAAACTTAAAAGAAATTCCTGTACATTATCAATTGTAATATTTTCTATATTTAAGGAATTCACATTGTTTCCAGTGTAATTTCAATGGTAGTTTTGTGGGATATATATTGGATATTCAATTTAAATCAAATTTGCATCAACATTCAAATGTTGTCTAAACATGAATCAAGTTAACTTTACATGATATTTTTAAAATTACGAAGTCTATCAATGTCTTTAGAAGTAACTTACACAATAAAATGGACTAGTTTTGACCTGTGATACCGAACTACTCCGTGTTCATCAGTATAGATAGGTTTATTGAACGAAACTGAATTTGTTTTTCTTTTGATTGTATGTTTGATGCTAATTAATAATTGAATCCAGAACATTGTTCATTACTCTTCAAATATATGTTTCCTATCATGATTATTATGAAGGCTTGTACTTCTGCTTTAGATAGGTAATAAATACAGTTCAATAGACTAGCTAATGGGGATAATACTCGTTAATTTTTCTATTAAGGGGTACTAGATTCAATTGTTAATTAGAACAGCAACACTGGGTTTCACATATATTTAGTAAATGTGTTCCAAATATGATGAAATACACTATTGGGAAATGTCGTAATAGTTATTAATAAAATAGCGCTTTATGATAATCTCTAATTACTCACAACACCTTAGTTGATGTTAAGTTTCATTAGAAAATAATAATCATTACTCGTGTTAAATATTATATGTACCTGATAAGTAGTTTTTGTATATAAGACAGATTCATCAGATAAGGGAATGTTTATCACTCGTAGTTTTGGTTTTCATTTGATTAACTTTTGTTACAGTTGGTCGTTGTTTGATAAGCATAGATTATTTATTGTCAGTGTTACTCAATAATAATCGTTGGAGTATTTTTCTCTTGAACTTTTAGTGTTCTTATATTCGAACCCTTCCTAATCGAAGTGCTTCGCGTACAGGTCTTTCACGAAGAACCCGTTCTCGTTCTAGTATCCCTGGATTAAAAATTTCGTCTACATCTGTATCAGATAAATCTATTTCTCACGAAATAAAACAATCCGAGATCGTTGAGATTACAAAGTCACCAACTTCTGATATTATTCACCCGCTACTTATTCCTGAAGAACCGTGTTTTACTCCTGAGCCTAAAGCTAAACGTCCTCGTGGTTCCCAACGTAGTAATAAATGTGATAATTCATTAGAACTTTCTAATAATAAAGATATTTCAGAATGTATTCAATCACCTAAGGATATTTTGAATAGTTCAATAGGTGAAAAAGAAAATGTGAGTTTAACTAATTCACAAACAATAAAAAAATGAAATAAGTTTTTATTTCAGAACTATTCTGACTAAATTTTTATGTCTATTAACCGTATTTTTTACTCGAATTCTTTCGGTAAACAAATTTAATAACCTGTAGTCATGTTAAATACATTAAAACTCTGTTCGGGACTCCACAGTAGCTAATTGGGTGGGAAATAATTTCAAGAACGATGGAAATCTGAACATGAAAATTGCTTCTTGAAAGGAACAAATGTAGTTAAAGAGTAAGAAGTTGGAATGAACAGTTATTTGATTATTTATGAAAAGATTAAATAAATTCAATAACATCTCCATACATTGATTTCGAATATTCTATGGAGCCTAAAAAGAAGGCCTATACCTACCGATGTACCACAAACCAATAGTCAATGAATTTATGGATTGATGTCAAATCTTGATTTGTCAACCCATTATTTCTTTCTAATCTACTCTTATGTCAGCTACTATTGAACATCTCTGACACGTTTTGCACATGAATGCCTAATCACCAAAATCCTAACGGTATCCTAGTTTCTGGGAATCTTGGAATCCCTCAGGCAAAAAACAAAAAGCTGTACATACTAAAAAAGTCTTACTTCGAAGAGCAGTTAATAATCGAGAAAACTAGGGTACTCGTTGGCTTCCTATTACCTTGAAATTCTGAAACAGGTAGTTTACGAGCTTTTGGTCATAGTTGTCTCCGAAACAGTGCTTGTATCTCTAAAACAACTGAGTGAACCGCATACATAAGGTACTACATAAACTCAGCAAGTCGGTTGATGATTTTGCGAATTTTTCTGCTGAATTGGATGAAACGCTTGTTACCCATACTCATTCCACCCCTACCCCAACTTAGTTGGGAAATGTATTAAGAATATCCAACTACCGCCTACTTTGACGGGGAAAGTTTGCTGGTGTAGGTGTAGATTGGTAGGAACGGCAGAACCAGTCCCATTGACAGATGGAATGAGGTGGGTGCAGACCACCTAGTTGTGGTCCGCGCGATTACCGTAACCAGCGGTTTGACACTTTAAGTGACGTGGTTCAGAATCGGTTGTACTGGTTTAGATACTTTCTCACTTCATCTTTCGTTATATTATGAATTTTGAAAAGAGCAAGAACAAAGATTCTAGCAGAATAGCATGAATTCATTTTATTTCGTAGGTTCTCGTCAGCTGCTTACAACCTGTAATATTTAAAAATCATAATTACATAATGGGTTTAAATAGCTGCCAAAGCAGCTACATCGGCCGAACTGAAAGGAGAGCACATTTTAGATTCTTTGAACATGTTCCAAAATGTCTTAGAACAAGGGAAAGGAAGACTCTGAACAGTGCAATCACCAAACATCTCCTTGATACAGGACATCAGGTACCTTGCAATCCTTTAGATTGATTAGTAAGCAGCCAAATTCCAGTCTTCTGAAGTTTGCTGAAGCCATTGCCATCAGGCGTCAAAAACCTGACCTATGCATTCAAAAGGAGACGGTGGTTAATCTTTCCTTGCCCTGGTGACAAATATTCCTTCACTACACCATAAAATTTCATTTTATTTTTTATTTTTTCTCTTTTGCATTTATTACATCATTGACTCTATTTTATTTTTTTCAACTATCTTTCAAATTAATAATCTTTCAACTGAACTCTACTCACTACATTCCTTCAATGTTATGCATTATGTAATCGATTGTTTCTAACCCACTTTTGAACTGTTGTCACAATTAATGTTGTAGAATATTCTTTCACATTAGGTATATATTTACAATATTTAGTTAGCAATTTAAACCCATTATGTAATTATGATTTTTAAATATTACAGGTTGTAAGCAGCTGACGAGAACCTACGAAATAAAATGAATTCATGCTATTCTGCTAGAATCTTTGTTCTTGCTCTTTTCAAAATGATAAAGGGAACTGTGTGTATGAAATATCTTGAATTTCAAAATTTTCCCTGTACTTTCTCCGCCTCACTAATTCATTTTTGTTTCATGAATTATATCGTCTATACCTAATTTTTTCACTAATAATACTGTTACCACTTGTATTACTTTGGTATTTGTCTTGATAATTTTATCTCACTGTGCAAGCGTGGTGTGGCAAGCTAAACCAGTACACATATGTGCCAGGTTCTGTGTTGTGTATGATTGACTGGCCGTCGAAATATGGTAGATGAAAGCTATGGTGAGACGAATGCATAGAATTAATCCATGAAATCATTCACCGTCGGTCTGAATTGTTTAGGGAGGTACAACGTTGTTATGATCTGCGATTGAAACACTTAAGCGATATGGTTCGGTCTCACTGACCTATTCACATTTTTTGTCTTTTCCTTTGGATTCCGAGTTTAAACTTGAAATCATATTAATAATTCTTAACCTTCTATTCGAACTATACTCTGTTTCGACATCGGTTTCTGATAATCATCTTCTCAATTTAATCTCATAACATTAATTTGATGTATCAACTTTATCCAATGCACATGCTTGTCTGGTTCTACGCGAACTATAACTGACTGAATCACTAAAGTTTAGCTTGATGTTGACTGAATATTTTGCCTCAAACTTTGCTGCAAATTCATCATAATTTAATGTTCATTTATTTTGCTATAAAATTTAATCCTATAAAATATGTACTATGACTGACCATTTATATATTGTTTCTTCTTTTTACAACAAAAGATATCGTTGTCCGATCCATTTAGAATAAAAACTCCTTACAATTCAGAAATGTCATCTAATTCACAGCTTACAAATGATTCATTTGATAACTCTGACATGAGTATTGCAGATTTAGTGAAAACACGTCAACGACGTCAGTCACGTTCATCTCAACCTATTACCGCCACATCACCAACGCAACATTCCACACCAATCATATCTAAGAACCGATTATCATTGAAAAGAATTTCGAAATAATGCATCTTTGTTGTTTCATTTTTATCATTTATTATTGTTGTTTCTCCATTTCTCCTGGCATTTACTCAATTATTCAGTGTTTCAATAGAAATATCACCAATTTCCCCTTTATTATTGTTATTATTTGCCTTTGAGTTTAATTTCCGTATTTATTTCACTTTTTACATTAAATAGAAGTGGAGATATTGCAAATTGTAATTTAAAAAGTCAGTTATTTTCTGATAGTTATTTTTTTATTTTAGTTTACTCTTGGACTGTTAAGTTGAAACAGTAAAAAGATGATATAGTAGCTTGTTCCATTTTCTTTTATCTTTCTGAACAGTTTGATAATCAGTGTATGAGCACTTTCGTCCAAACTCGATCGATTAGTTTCATGGTATTTCGGTGCCGATTCGATGTGAGACATTGAGGAGAAAGAATCTATCTGTTAAATTTCAACGTTGGATATACTTCATATTCATTGGCTGGGATATTACAAATACATTCTTCCTCAAGTTTCATAACCAGTTTAGATAAATAATAAATGTATAGAATTCGGTTAACAGATTTCTGGACGAATTATTCATCGCAGTTCCATGTTTAATTTCTATTTATTGTTAACGTAAGATTAAAACCATATTTTTCTTGATCAAATAGGTCTTCAGACTTTACTCCGAAAGGTAGTGATATTAATGTGCATTTATGAAACACATTAAACTAACCAAGACAATTTACAAGTCAGTGATAACAATGCCAGAGATCACCTAAGTAGACATTATAGGTCAGAAGTATAAATTATTAGTAAACTGATAAATGTAGTCAGACTTATGTTGATAATAGAAAACATCACAACATAAATATTTCAAAATCGAAATTAGGTCGAAACTCCGTGAAATGATAATCACTAAGGCTTACGTGATAAGTGTGTAATTAGTAGGGAAAGAAATTTTCGTTTCCATGCTAAAGCGTTCATGACATATTGAAGTTCATAAGGACTAATCATGGCTTAATTTAAGCGGATACATTTGTTAGTTCACTAATTATTTTTAGTGGGACGAAAATATGAATACTGTCAATTTCCCGTACTGGAACAAAACGGTCATTCAGTGTTTTCCTGGTTTTTAACGTTTATCTAACCTAGATATGTTCACCAACAGATCCGGTGTTTTATTTGATAATTTATACTTCTTGATGAAACTGTAGGACCAGTTTGCTATTCGTGGTTAAAATTGCGTTGCTCAGAGATTCTCGTGTTTACACACTCGGTAACTTAATAATAGAATTTCTTTCCAAAGATTTTTCATTTGCTTTCGAATGGGAAACCTAATCTCGGTTACAGTCTAATTTTCTGTTAATCGTAAACGTTCTTACAGAGTGGATTAGTTGTCATGTGACATGATATCTAACTGGTTCTATCAGTGACTATAAATAACATTCAGAAAATATCGAATTTGTGGATCGAAGAAACCCTAAGAATGTCAGAGCATTACAAGGAACATACCACTTCATCAGTTCTGAACACATGATCGTTAGGATGTGATCTGGAAAAAAGTCTAAAACATGGGTTAGTAAATTCCATCTGATTGAATAATGTCTTTTAATAAGCTGACCAGTTATTTTACATCATTTCCTTCCAGCCATATATAGACTCGCTTAAGATTTACCATTTAATTGTCATATCTAATTAGTTCAGTTATAAAATTTTCAATTAATTGTATACTATAGTTTAACCGTTTTAATATATAAATGAGTGAATTGTATGTAGCTGTGCTGATTCTCACAAGTCAGTAATATGGATGGGAAAACGTGTAATTTGTAGTCCGTCAGAAGAAAGATGATATGCTCGTCATACAAGCCATTATTACATAGAAACAATGCATGGTATGAACCTCTTAATGTCTCAAGCCAATCAAAATTGAATACACTGCCTACAGTTACATCAGTCCTCATGTTGCATTCCTAGATTACCAGGTTTCCGCCATTACTGAGGATTTAATATTTTCAATAAATTACATAGATATATACTACCTACCTGACTAAAGTACGTCAGTTTCTCATTGTAAAATCCCAGTGAATATAATTAAATATGTAGAGATTTGGATATTTTTCACTATAAAACTAAGAGTCATTGAATTCAATTTTCGCTTTTATTTTCACCAAATATATCTAACCGGAGATTTACTATGATTTATATAACTAGCGCTTATAAATTACAGACAACTAGATGAGCTATAATGCACAATGTCCCAATCACAAATCTCTTCACTTAATTAATAAGTAACATTACCTACTATCGTTGAAATAAGTTCCTATCATACAAACAAAATGATTGTATACAATCTAATAAATTAATGATATATTTGCAAATATTTTAAAATCACTGTACAACAAATTAGTATGAATATTGAAAACGATATTGCTCATTCATCAAAACTAAATACTGAAGATGTTTTTTTTCTTTGTTAGTTCTGTTATTGTTGTTCTTAATAGTGACTAGATGTTAAAATTTAAGCAAAATTCTTGGTTATATTTTGTATATTACTCAAACATGCTTGTTGTTCAATTGTTGATTGATCCAAATTATTTTGTGATTGAATTTGTAGATGTGGAGGTAGATAAGTCCAGTGTTTCTCTTCTATGTTATGATAGAAAGGATTATGATTAAGATTATATCTTTCGTCAATATTCTTTTTAACCAATAAATCAGTAGTTGAATACCTGGTAGATGATAATGATAAGAAATCATTTAATTTGCTAACTTTTACAGGAACTTTAGATGATGGAATTTTATGTTCATCCTGTAATCTGAATAGATCAGTTGATCCACAATCAATATTTTTATTAGATACATTATCAATACAATTTGTCATATGTATATTATTATTATTACTTTTATTTGGAATTCCAGAATAAATTGAACGATTTGAATTATTTCTTTCCACGGTTCTGGAAGTATTATTGATTTTATCTTTTAGACTGTTATCAGTATTATTGACATAGGTAGTGTTTACAACAGATTTTATTGTTGGTGTCATTGTTAAACTTGATATTAATGGATTGATCTTGTTGTTATTATTATCGTTACTATGGTACTGATGATGAATTGATTTTTGTTGATTTCTAGAAGCTAATTGTTTTATTCGCATTTTTTCTTCACGTCTCCATTTTGCACGTCTATTAGAAAACCAAACTTGTATACGGGTTTCAGGCAGTAGGATTCGACTGGATAACTTTTCACGAGAAAACACATCAGGATAATGTGTATGCTCAAATTCTAAAAATCAATCAAGACTATTAGTCATTATAGCATTATATTTCATATGTAAATTCACAATTCAACAGAAATAAGAATTATATTTAAAATAAACTCAAGGATTGACATGCAAAATAATTCTAGCGTTTATCCCATCAAGCTTTTTTGGGCAATAATCAAAATCAACTTACAAAAAAATATATGAAGTTCAAACAAGTTTATAACATGAAGCATTAGAATTACTTAAATTACAATTGCCGAAACTATTTCAAATATAATTTTTGCATATAATGTCTCCTATCTATTGGGCGTCCAATTTCTGTCGAATTATCCTTTCAAATATTCGCACGAACAGGAATAATCTAGGAGTTTTAACTATATTGTTTGTTTTCGTGTGTGTTACTAAAGTTCAGAAGTTACCTAAAATCAGTCTAGATAACTGTTTTAAAGAGAAAAATAAAAGGTTAGAAACTAGACAACCTTTTTGGTGACAATACTTTTTTCTACATGTAATTATAAACAGATGAGTTTTCCATTTCCTCTATTCTCCTAATATCAAGCTTCCGTCTGATTTATAAACTATCACCATATTTTATTCTATCCTCAAATGATCTGGATTTGATCGTGAGCTTAATAGTAACATAATTTTGAACTCCAACTAATCAGCGTCCATCTAACAGATCGTCAATTGGTGATTAGGGTAGTTCCCTGCTGGCGAGATCAACTAGTCACACATCGAACTCAGTCATTAGCAGTTTCAGGGTCATATCGAGTAGCCTAGTGTATCAGGGCCACTAACGAGTTTTGAGACAAACCTGCCCGCAAATTCAACTACAGAACCAATGGACAAACTAGGACCATAATGATAACTAATTATAAATCATTAATATATATATAGTTAAGTTGGTTTTACTTTCTCCGTCTTGATTCACTTTCCTTCAACTCTCTTGTGTATTGTTTTATACTACATATAAATATTCAGTAAACAGTAGAATTCCTAGCATTTTCTGGGCGTATGTTGTGATATAAGTTTATCGTGCAATATTCTCAAGTAACTACATTTACTTATATAATTTATTGTATTTATCATTATAATCATTTTCTCTTAACCCTTATAGCAGTTATTTACAATTTTGTATGGCCGTTCAATTCTTGTTTAAACGCAAAGTTTTCTATATTGTGTGCTCTTGGTTCCGTTTTTGCTTGTTGATAAACTGTTATTAGGATTAGACACAGCCATTAGCTGTCATTTTCACTACCGTATTTTTTTTACAATTCTTTGTTATTACTGCAGGAATCCTTCTTTATTTCAGACTTACAGACGCTCATGGAGTTGCAGGTACCTCACAAGTTGAGGTTTGTAGCTAATTTATGTATACTACTCATTAAAGGATCTCTTTCTTAGACAGATCGCTGTTTTGTGAACTTCGAATCCGCGCGTATCTTTTACGATTTAGAAGCTTAGATAGATTATATTTACGTATACATATAAAATGTTTTGAATCGACCCTATATATATATATATATATATATATATATTCAATTCTCCATATCCCTATCTAACTCTTCTATGTAATTAATAAAATAGAAAGTAACATACTAACAGTTATTTTGATCTTTCATTATCTAGGGTCGGTTCAAAACACTTTTTTAACAAAAAACACTACGATATTTCTCTTTCTGACAACCTGCAAGTGAGTAACTCACCTCTTTCAAGTTCTTCTAATTGAAGATTAGAGAATGAAGTACGACTGCGTTGTTGTTGTTGCTGCTGCTGCAGTTGCTCCTCATGATGATGATGACGATGTTGTTGTTGTTGTTGTTGGTCTGACTGCTTCTGTTTATTACTTTGATATTTTTCATCAGTCATAATCATTTGTGAGAAATTTATTTCACTTAATACAGAATTAGATCTTTCATTCAATTCAGATTTTGAACTATTCAACGACGATACTGATGTTGATGATGTTGTTGTTGATATTGATTGAACAATTGCAGTAATACTATTCGGTCTTTTATTCATTGTTCTAACACATAAATCAGAATTATCTTTATTAAGAAAGATTCTATTTTTAGTTAATTCTTTCGGCTGTTCTATTTGGTTTGCATGTAATGTTTCTAAAAATGTTTCTTGTGTTTCATTTAATTCATGATAGAATTGCGTGTTTAATTGATTTTG